CCATCCATCCATCCATCCATCCATCCATCCATCCATCCACCCATTCAGCCATCCATGCCATTAAAGTTTGATTGACTTTTTCTCTCAACTAAAGGATAACAAAGTCAGGGAATTATTAAATGATAAAGCTCTGTACATGTTGTATAACACAATCATTGTTCCACATTTAATCTATTGCACTGATGTTTGGGGGAAAGCGTGTAAAACATTTACAAAACCTATTTTTATTTTACAGAAAAGAGCTGTAAGAATTATCACCAGAAAGCATTACAGTCACCCATCAAGCACATTATTTTATCAACTGAAGTTATTGAAGTTCCATGATTTGGTAGATTATAGTATTTTATCAGTTATGTATAGGGCTCAAAATAACACATTACCATTAAATACTTAAAGAAATTTTGTTAAAAGACAAAGTTGTTATAATCTTAAGGGGATAGAGATATTTGTCAAACCAAAATTCAGAACTAGTCTGAAGGGAAGGTCTACCTCAATCCAAGGAGTTGGATTGTGGAATGGTCTAGAGAGTGATGTGAAAAATGCCAAGTCAATGTGTACATTTAAGAAAAAGATCAAAGCTGGATTGTTAAAAATATATATATGAAGTAGCTTAGTGTGTTTTCATCCATCCATCATCTTTTACCCGCTTATTCCATTTTGGGTCATGGGGGTCGTTGGTGCCCATGTCCAGCAATCACTGTGCGAGGGGCGGGGTACACCCTGGACGGGTCGCAAGTCCATCACAGGGCCACATAGAGACAAACAAGACAAACAACCATTCACTCTCTCACTCACACCTAGAGACAATTTAGAGTTACCAATCAGCCTAACATGCATGTTTTTGATCTGTGGGAGGAAACCGGAGTACCCGGAGAAAACCCACGCATGCACGGAGAGAACATGCAAACTCCACACAGAAGGGCCCCTGGACCGGGGTTTGAACCAAGGACCTGCTCACTGAGAGGCAGCAGCTCTACCAGTTGTGCCACCGTGCTTCCCGCTTAGTGTTTTTGTATTAGAATTAGAAAAATTAGAAAGAGTTATTCATTTTGTTCTGCTACTTAATTGTTTGAAAAAAGGGGCAGATATAATAAGATTTTTTCTTCTTTCTGCTGCCTTTCATTTTAAATCGCTTGTATCTTTTTTTTATATTGTTATGGAATTGTTTTGTACTTTTTTAAATGAATAAACTTTATACCATACCATAACGAGAAGTTCAAACTTTATTATTTCATCTTCTGAGCAGAGAAAGCACCATTTAAACTCAGCATCAAGTATCCTGATGCATGCTCAATAACCCAGGTAAAAAAAAAAATCTAAAAAAGAAGTTAAGTCAGGTCCTCTGGACGTTCAAAAACAAAAAAACAACAACAACAAAAAAATGTAGAAACGTTTCGTCTTTCATCCGAAACACTTCTTCATCGGAGGAACTGTATTCAGCATCAAGTCTGTTCTGTTTTATAGAAATGAGCTAAACAAACTTCTCCACTATGGAACACCAAAATGCTCAAAATTGAAAAAAAAAAAATAACATTATGAAATAAGAATAAAAAAAGTTTTTATTCTTTTATTTCATATTTGTATTTTTCATGATAGCTAATTTGTTTAATGCAGGTGTTTTTCAGAACGACTTATTTATTTCATAATGACTCTTTTCAGCAGAATGACTTCAGCTGTCAATCAACGTCAATGGGTTGGACCTTCACGCCCACTGGCTGATCCTTCACATCCATTAGTTTTCCTGAATACCTGCTCACTGTATAGCTAGCATAGCAGCTAGCAGCAACTTGCTAGGTCAACAGTCATGAATGATGGCAGAGGTGCATGAACTTCGTTCAGCTCAGGTAACTTTAGCAGATTAAATTGAGAGGATTACGTTCTCAGAAGATACAGGTGATATGACAAAAAGTGACAGGCTAGCTGCCGAAAATCGATCGATGCTGCAGGAGCGCGCACGGGAGAACTCATTGTTTTAGTTCTTCGAATTTAACGAGAACGTAATCCTCTCAATTTAATCTGCTAAAGTTACCTGAGCTGAACAAAGTTCATGTAACTCTGCAATCCTTCATGACTGTTGACCTAGCAAGTCACTGCTAGCTGCTATGCTAGCTATACAGTGAGCAGGTATTCAGGAAAACTAATGGATGTGAAGGACCAGCCAGTGGGCATGAAGGTCCAACCCACTGACATTGATTGTCAGCTGAAGTCATTCTGCTGAAAAGAGACATGAAACAAATAAGCCATTATGAAAAATGCTATTATGACATAAATAAGCCCACATGGAAAACACAATTATGAAATACAATAATACAAAATTGGGAAAAAAATAATAATGAGCTTAGATACTTATTTCATAATGCTTTATTTAATTAATTTTGAGCATTTTGGTGTTCCATACTTCTCAGCATGTAGCAGCAGAGGCTGCAGGGAAACTCCAGATTGAGAGACACGTCACATGGTCCTAGTGCCTGATGCTGTGAAATGCTGCCACACATGTTAAAGTGCTTCTCATCAGACACAGTCATGAAATATATATATAGTTTTTAGCAGTTTTTAAAAAGAGTTTTCAACTCAACAGGAAATCTGGTGGTGTTTCAGTCCTGCAGGATCTTGTGACATGAGATATTGTTACATCCCCTAATCCTAGGAATCAGAACTCCCCGCGCCCCACCCATGACTGTACATCTTTTCTCTGCAGGTGTTGGGCCCATGGGGATTTTATTTTATGCATGTGTGTGTGCATGCATGGGCTCATGTGTGATGTCTTGAGAGTAAACATTGTAAAAAAAAAAAATGTCATTAATATAACCTCTGTCAATTTCATATCTATTTAAATTGAAGGATTTAAAATACATATTTTAAGAATATTAAAGGCACAAAAATCACTTTCTGATCCTCCAGCATAGACTCCTCCTCCACATTTGTTTAATAGGTTCACAGCAACCTGCTCTGAGACAGGCCTCCCTCCAAACAGCTTGACTGCAGTAAATTGATGTCATTATGCCATAGTTAGATACTTCATTTGAGGCATTTTATTTTGTTACCAAAATAGAGTTTAATCAGAATAGGTCTCCAAGTAATTTGAACATCTGGGGGAAATTACTTTGTTTCGAGCAGTGTTGAGCCAGATGGCGTAATTTTCAGTAGAATAATTTCATATTGTGATGTAAAATATTAATCTCAGAACAAAGTAAGTGAGAACAGTGAGTGTATTTACAAGCTTTGAATCTATAAATTCAGCTTTGCTCTAGAAATTGAATAGCATAAGTAGGTACTGTATACGTAAGACTGTAATAAGTATTGTTTCATAAAATACTGCTATTTATTTATGAAAAGATCATTTTAAAGCTTTTTTTTCAACGAGCCTGAAAGTTTTATCTGCTTAATAAAACACTTTTATTCAGCCTAAATAACTAACAGTCAAACATAATGCAAAAAGTGTTTCGTTATTCCAAATCATTCTTTTTCTTTATTACTAACAAAAGTATATATTTTTTGAACATCTATACAATTTTGTGAAACAATGAAAAGGCACAGAATAATTGTATTCCTTTTTCCCAGTTAATCAAACCACTCCTTTGCATTACCAATAATGGACATATCCAAATATGATGCTTAAAACCTTAAAGACATACAGTACACAGCTGGCACAGTCACGTTTCATTTGATGGGCATGTAGTAATTTGATTATCTAATAGTCCAGAATAGATCGTAAATGTCGACAAATAGTCAATAATGGAATCGCAGACTTTCAGACATTTGGTATTAGTCAGACAAACGTCCCCAGCTGTCTGGGCATACTCAGTAAACATCAAATGGATTTTGTGAGATTTCAGATTCAAAGGAAATTCTTTCCAGGATGTTTTGCTCTAATGATGAACATTTTATTGGAAAAGCAGAAAAGGAGGGACCAATATTTCAAGCAGCACAAGATATCACAGTCATGACTGTGATGAGGATCAAAGACACGCTTCAATGTCCACAAAGATGTCGTTAAAAACCAACGTGTTCATGCCAGTGTTATGACCAACCGTGATTGAAAGCAACAGGCTCGAACATGCTTCCCGGGATTGTCAGAATAAATTCGATGGACTGAGGAAATCTTTAAACAAGATGAACAAGGTAAGGAGCTGGATTTTTGATGGGTTAATTATAATAAAGTCGACCTCTGTACTTTATTACAAACAGCTCAGGAACGTTTATTGGGATACAAGGAACTCTGTGAAGAGACTGTGCCTCACCTCTTGCTGTAAATCCTTGATGATTTTTGTTTTCTTCTCCATCTCAACTTTCAGAAATTTAATCTGAGGAAAGAAAAGACAAAAAACTCAATCATTCCAGCTTCGAGATTTTGAGTTTCAACCACTAAACAATTTTAATAAAGATGGACAGATGTTAAATATGCTCACGTAAAGACATTCCAATGATTGAATGAATGTGGTTTATTTTAATTTATTTTACTGAATTTAAATTGTCTCACAAACCAATTAATTTCTGATGAAAGCAGGTTAAAAATATAATACAAAATAAAAATATATTTAAACAGTTTTGTATTGTAATGGTTAAATTCCACTAATCATGGAAACTATTTCAGCAACGGATTAAAATTCATTTGTTCTGCCACACAAGACAATGCAATATAATTTAAAAAAAAAAAAAAAAAAATCAAATAAATTCAGAATCCTTGGATTTTATTTATTTCAAGCATAATTATCGATTCTTAGGTGACGTATACATAGAAAATAGTAATCTACTAGGCAGGAATCTGTATAGTAAAAAAAAAGCAGTTTTTATATTCAATATCACATTTTATATCTTTCTTGGGATGTAGCCAAGACCTCACCTGCTGACTCATATTTGTAAGCAGGACACAGCAACATCATAAGTCATATTAAATCTTTTTCACTGTCCCAGAGAAAACAGCAACACAAATAACAATAATAACCAGAAAAAGTATAAAAAGCTTTTCACAGTCAGTCCATGAATTTCACTTAGTAAAACAGGACATTTGCTGGAGCTACTTTAGATGGTCAACCAAATACCAGCACAATCAGAGCTAAAACAGATAACATTTGATTTAGTATGTTTAATTTTCTTAATAGGGGCACTTTTGGCATGTTTGCATTGAGGCACTATAACTTAAGTTCAAGCAATAAATGAACAGTTTATTTAAAACTGGCTTTGCCAACAGAGCACTTTGATGCAGGCAAAAACCACAAGCTATAAAACTATGCATGCTGTTCAAATGGCTGATTATCAAAAGTATTTCAGCTCTGACAAACCTTGTCATCAAGTCTATTTTAGCTAATCTCGTACAGAGTTAGGATTAACAAGCTTCTATTAGTCAAAGACTAAAAGGAGGGAAACGTCATGTGACAGAGAGAAGAGGAAAGTCAACAATGTAGGACTTAGGGTAGCAACTCTAAATGTGGGGACAATGACAGACAAAGGTAGAGAGCTGGCTGACATGATGCAGAGAAGGAAGGTAGATGTTTTATGTGTGCAAGAGACAAAGTGGAAGGGCAGCAAGGCTCACAGTACTGGAGCAGGGTTTAAACTGTTTAACCATGGTGTGGATAGAAAAAATAAATGGAGTATGGGTGGTCCTGAAGGAGAAGTAGGCAACAAACGTAGTAGAGGTGAAAAGTATGTCAGATAGGGTGATGTGCATGACGGTAGAAGTAAGTAGAAGGTCTGACGCTAAATGTTGTCAGTGGTTAGGCTCCACAAGCTGGATGTGATGTGGAGGAGAAAGATACATTTTGGACTGGATGAAGTGATAGTATTCCCAGGGAGGAGAGAGTGGTGATGGGAGTAGACCTGAATGGACATGTTGCTCAAGGAAACAGAAAGGATGAGGAAGTGAAAAAAAACACACACACACACACATATACAGGTACATATACATGCATGTACAATTCAATTTATAATTAAGAAATACATATTTTATCTTGCATTAAAATCCAAGTGCATGTTACCTGAGGAATTGTTTGGTAGTCAGGGGGCTATTTTAGCAATCTTATGAGTTAATTAGAAGATATAATAGCTCAAGTGAGACTAATATTCTTCACTGGTTTAGAGTTTGTTTCAGACTTTCATTCGTTATGCTGCTAAAATTTTATAGTCATGAACATAGATAGACATACAGACAGACAGATAGATAGACAGACAGACAGACAGACAGATAGATAGACAGATGGACAGATACATAAATCAGGTCTCTCTTGTAAATGAGTCATTGAGGCTCAATGGGATTTACCTGTCTAAATAAAGGTTGAATGAAAAAATAAATAGACATACGGACGGATGGAGATAGATAGATAGATAGATAGATAGATAGATAGATAGATAGATAGA